GTAAAAAGAGAGTATACATGACTAAAATCAAAAGATAAATATATAATTATTTGTTACTTGAAACTTTAAAAGTCATCATGCAAAGGTACACTGGCATAAATTACTACAAAAAAAAAAACCCTAAAGCTTTGTATTTTAAAAAACAATACAACTTTCACCACCCAGCTAAGCTTTATTAATTAATATATTATTACAATCATGAGTACAATGGTAGTATATAAATGTGGGAGTCAGATAAGTTACAGAGTACATATTACTTTGGGCGACGAATAAAGAAACAAACTCTAGTAGGAGTAACAATGGTAGGAGTAACAATGGTTCTGAAAATAGTCAAGTTTTTGAGCTTGGGTTTCTCTCTGAGGAAGAGTCACAGCTCTATCTTAAAAATCACATTTATCCTGAAGACACACCCCATAGCATCTCAATGTTCCTAATCAGGCTAAGGAAGTGTTTCATCACTGACTCAGAGAAAAGATCGTTACTTTGACTGAATCACCAATGTTTCCTGCAGCATTAGATTTGTCATTGGGTCTGCTAAGCAACAGAAAAACAGTCCCAAAATTCTTATCTTAAAAGATCTTATAAGGGAAAGCTATCATTATTGCTCCCAAACTCAATCAAAGAACCTGTGGCCTTCTGATTTCAAGATTGTTCTTTTTAGAATCTACTTAGAACTCGGGAAAATCAACAAGAAAAAATCAAACGACCCTATCAAAAAGTGGGCAAAGGACATGAACAGAAACTTTTCAAAAGAAGACAGAATAATGGCCAAAAAACATATGAAAAAATGCTCAACATCTCTAATCATCAGGGAAATGCAAATCAAAACCACAATGAGATATCACTTATCTCCAGTGAGACTGGCCTTTATCAAAACGTCCCAAAACAATAAATGTTGGCGTAGATGCGGAGAGATAGGAACACTCACACACTGTTGGTGGGACTGCAAACTAGTGCAACCTCTGTGGAAAGCAATATGGAGATACCTTAAAGAGATACAAGTAGAGCTTCCATTTGATCCAGCAATCCCATTATTGGGCATCTACCCAAAAGACCAAATGATACTGTATAAGAAAGACACCTGCACCCCAATGTTTACAGTAGCACAATTCACAATTGCAAAGATGTGGAAACAACCCAAGAGTCCATCAATACATGAGTGGATTAATAAAATGTGGTATATATATATATACCATGGAATACTATTCAGCTTTAAGAAACAATGATGATATAGCACCTCTTGTATACTCCTGGATAGAGCTGGAATGCATTCTACTAAGTGAGGTATCCCAAGAATGGAAAGACAAGCACCACATGTACTCACCATCAAATTGGTATTAACTGATCAACACATAAGTGCACATATAAGAATAACATCTATTGGATGTTGGGCAGGGGTGAGGGGAGGTGGGGAGGAGAGAGGAGGGGACGGGTATATGCATACACAAAGAGTGCAATGTGTATCACCCGAAGAATGGACATATTTGAAACTTGGACTTAGAGGGCGGGGGCAAGGGCAACATACATAACCTAAACATCTGTACCCCCATAATATGCTGAAATAAAAAAAAAAAAAAGATGAAACACCTGAAAACCACTAAAAAAAAAAAGATCGTTCTTTTTTAAGTACCAAAGGAGGCAAGAAAAGCTTCATCTTTCTCTGCTGTACCCCTTTTAATGAAAGGATTTGTTCTATAAAATTTGGATTCAGTCAAAAGGCAGCACTCAAGGATCCAGATGGCCACATGTGGCCCCAAGGCCCAGGTTCCCCGCCTCGGTACATTAATAAAACATGCAGAACAGTTAACAGGTTAGAATATTGCAGAATCTTGTGAGACTGCCATTGAAAGTTCTTTGAGATCTTTCTTGTTTTCTCTTTTTCCACTTAAAAGAATTTTGACTGTCTCAAGACACCCAGCACTTCCCTGAAGAGATGAAAGTGGAGTATCCCAATTAAGAAATGAATTAAGTATTCATCCTTACTTTCTGAGTGAAAACTAGCAAGAAATGACTTTTTCCTGAAAGGTTTCTTAACTGCAGATGAAGTTCCATTTACTGTTATGGAGAAGATGACTCTGGCTCTCTCTTTGATGAAGGTTCCTGAGCCCTAAGGGACTTTCCTCAATGCTGTGCTTCCTGCATTTAAAGAATCTGGGGTTAAACGTGTAGATAAAACAACTTCAATAATTCAAATGTACTCTGTATTCTAGAAAATATTTTCCACCTATTTAAAGTAAAGAAAACAAAAGAGAGGAGCTTGGTTTTACTTACCCATGCTAATTAAAATTATACCATCTCTCCTTCGCAATAGATTTGCCCTACCCTACAGCAGTTATAAACTCTGATTTCCCACAAATATACAATTGCCAAAATTCCTTTCATACCTTCACTCACCTATAAACACTTATTGAGTGCCCAATATGTTTCAGATATTGATCTAGGTGCAAAATGAGTCTAAAAAATGCACAGACTTCAGTGATGAGGACATGGATTCTATGTGGCTAGAATGCTAGGTTTCAGTTTATTTGTCAGTCAAGGAATAGTGGTACACAAACTTGAGTAAGCAACAGAATTACTTGAAATGTTTGTTAAAATAGAGATTGCTGGGCCCCTCTTGGAGAGTTTCTATTTAGCAAGTCTGAAGTGGGGCCCCTACATTAGCATTTCTAACAAGTTCCTATGTGATGTTGATGCCACTGGTCCAGAGACGATGCTTTGAGAACCACTTACCAGGAAAAATGGTAGCTCTTCACGCCATGCCTGCCAACTTTCAAGCACTGTATATTCCTACTCCAAAGAAGGTAATGGCCTCATGAATGCTTATAATCACTTACAACCAAGCAGAATCCAAGTTCCCAGAACCACTTCAAACAACTAAGGTCAGTAGCTCCAGAATTAAAGAAAGAAGTATAAATAACAAGGAAGAGAAAACTGTCCTTCCAGGGGCTTTTCTCCCTCCCTGTTTTTCTTTGCGTTATGCTCTATCACAAGAAATCAATTCTATTTTTTAATATAAGTATTATGGAAAAGAATAGCATTCATCTAGATTTTTCACTTTTTTACTTCAATAAAATTACAGTTTTTCTTCCAAATCCAGTTATGATCTTTTCTTTTTTTGTTAGACTATTTCCTTTCTGAACAAATAGAATCATAGGGTTGAAGGAACATTGAAAATTCACTTAATCCCTCCTTGGCCTCAGACAAGGCTGTGTCTAAACCATCCCCAAATATAGCAATTTCAGCACAAAGAAGAACAGGCACTAAGAACTTCCCATTCAACATTCTGTCACATACTTGAAGATACTAATATGCTTCCCTGCAGCCTTCTTTTTCTCTAAGCGAATCAACCTCAATTTTAGACTTTCCTCATTAGATTTCCTAAACTTTAAATTATTTTGACTCTTCTTTAGAAGTTTTTCTCATCTTACCTCAAAGCCTGACTTATACATGTTATGTTCTAATGAAAACTTTTTGTTTGTATATGGAAAGAGGAAAGTTAATTTATTGATTGAATAAAAGGAATTTAATTAGAACAAAAATATTATGTATAAATGCCACTAAAATATAATGTAATGGCATTCACTTGATCAATTAGTTGCAAATATCTTTTATTCATTAAAAGAAATGGTAATGCCCTATGGTTTTTAAAACTTTACATTAGAAATCACCAGCCATTTTACACATAAAATGGTGGTAACTAGAGATCTTTTAAGATGTCACGAATTACACAGAACCGTGTTTCATGACACTTTACACAGGAGAGAACTTTAATATATTATTATTCATTTGCTTTTTTGTTTTTTCATATTATATAGTCTTTACTATTAAAATTGGAGTTGTAGTTAATCAATGATTTAATTTTGTATGAGACCAAAAATACTGAATTGATTATATGATAATCATTTCTCTGAAAATAATTTCTCTGATTCAAGCCTTGAGAATCGGAGCTGTTTAGAAATTCAGTGAATACAATGGAGTCTATGGGAAATCATATGGTTTCTGCACAGTTTAGAAAGGGAATGTAGGTAATACACTGGATGACTCACTTTATTCTGATTTTGCCCATTCTAAATATCACTAATCAAAATTTAATCTTTGCTTTTGGAATGGTGGAGTGTGCTAGTCCAGCCCTAGGCCTGAGAGATAGATTTGTTTCCTTGCCTACTGGGATCAAGGTGTACGGTGGAGGCGATGCATTTAGTCTCCAGAGAGAAGGAAGATGCTGCTTGCACAGCACTTCTACTCACCAGTCCATGCAGCAGCAAGGGTGTTGGCTTTGAAGGAAGCCAACTGTCCTGCTCTCCCAGCCAGAGGTAAAGAATTGCATTGGTGGCCACTAGAGGGAGGAGGATTAGGAATAGAGTAAATTGTAGGGAAAATGTACCCATGAAAAACGCACATGGGACAACCAACACATCACCAACCACCGCCTAGCAGCTACCTCTCTTAGGGAGTATAATGGGGTCAGTGTACATCATCACCCAGAGACCCAGACACCAGTCATTATTGTAGCATCCCAGTATATAGCCCCTTAACTTTGATGGCTGGAGACGGGAGTTTGAATAGGATTGTGGGAAACACACAAGCACACAAACACGCAAGCACACAGACATACATTGTCATCCCCCATTACAAGAAGTTGCATCTGTGATGTCTGATTCTTGCTCATTTTCTTATTTAAAACTCTTGATGTTCTTTACCAAGAATGCGTTCACGAAAAGCAAATAGCCCACCTTCAAGATAGTCTTGGGAGAAGCACCAGCAGAGAAACTCATTGTGCCAAGATGTATTTTACCAACAAATCTGCACAAATTACATGAGGTTGAAAACAAACGGAATATAATATAATTAAAGCAAAGTTTCTTTTGCTAAATTACAGCTTGAAGCAAACCTGCAAGAAATGTTTCCAATTAGCTTCTTTAACAAACACAAAGCATAGCTCAGAATATGTTTTGTTCTCCATCTTGCCCTCTGGGTGGGCTGCCTAGTGGGTGTCTTACCTCCGGCACAAGTAGCTGAGCATTCTGACCAAGGCTGGTGATTCCATGTAAAGCCAACTTCATTATCTCCACTGCCAGTCCGAGTGATGGGAACGTTGAACTTATACCTAATTCCCAAATTCTGTTCTTGAAGCAGAACCTGCCATTGAAAACAACTGGTGAAGACAATTAAAATACAATGAGCCTTCCTTCAGATATTTATTATTTGTTCTGAAGAAGAAAATGTCATAAAGCAAGACTTATAGGAGATTAAAGATAAGACACATGCATTTATATCAAATTTTCTCCTTCCATTTTCATGGGTAGTTTGGAACCATTTCTCTCATCTGTCTTGTTTGGTTATAAAAGTATCATTCAAGCAAGCATTGAAAAGATCAAATAGTCATATGGGAAGAGCACTATGGTCTTACATCTGCACAGATTTTACACCCTTGAGCAAATCATTTTACCTTTATTTACCTAAATTTCGCCACTTGTAAAACAGAGATTAAAAAAAAAACAAACCCTGCCCCTTCCTATCTCACAAGAGGGAATTACAAAGAGTAGAAATAAAATGGCAAAGACACATTTACCATGACAATGAGATTTTCCGATGTGGGACCTAGAGCTTCCAAGGATTCTGGTTCATCAGTTGGTCTTTTATAGTGAAAAGCTGTCCCGGCAACATCAAACTTCCTAGGCCAGTCAATAGTCCAGGCACCATTAATATAGTAATCATCTCCTTCAGATTTTAAAGCTAGAAAAAAAATCACAATCCACCTAAAAACGTGAAACTTCATTTACCAAATTGTCATTGATCAATTACTGCAATAAAGTATACAATGAAAACTTATTTTCATTTAAGAGATATGATTCTTGATCATTTTCTTAAGTACAAATTAAAATGCTAATTTTTATGTGATTGTTAAGAAGGTATTACTTAAATATTTATGTCATTGACAGAAAGGAATGAAAGGTTTACCTGGAGGAATGAACATGTGGAACTAGCAAGGAAAATTATGACAAAATGAATAACTGGGATGGGAGTAAGGGTAGGGAGTAGACTTTTCCTTTCCAAATATTAGAACAGTAATTAATATGGGGTGTAAAGAATTTGTCATACTGGCACACAGACTAGTGGAACAATCAAACCAGAGAGTTAAGAAATAGACCCAAGTATGGGAATTTAGTGTATGACAAAGGAAGTATCTTAAATTAGTAAAGATAACAAGAAATGGGGCTAGGACTAGCCTTTTGGCAAAAAAAAAAAATAGTTGCTGAATTTCTATTTCATTCTTTATATAAGAATAAATGCCATAATGCCACTCCTAGGTGTGTGTCCAAAAGAATTGAAAATAGGTACTCAAACAAATACTTGCGCACACAAGTTAATAATAGCACTATTCCCAATTGCCAAAAATAGAAACAGACCAAATGTTCATCAATGGATGAATAGATGAATGAATTGTGGCATATACAATACTATGGAATATTATTCAGCCGTAAAGGAATGAAGTATTGATACATACTATGATAAACCTAAAAAACTTTAAGCTAAGTGGAAGAGGCCATACAGAAAAGGTCATATTGTGTATGCTTCCATTTATATGAAATATCCTAAATAGGTAAAAATCCACAGAGACAGAAAGCAGATTGGTGGGTGCCAGGGGCTGGGGGATGGGAAGAATGAGGAATAACTGCTTAACGGATATGGGATTTCCTTTGAGATGATGGAAATGTTTTGGAATGTACTAAATGCCACTGAATTGTTCACTTTAAATGATTAATTCTGTGTAATGTGAATTTCACCTCAATAAAAACAGAGTTAAAAAAAGAGAAAAAATAATGCCAGATGAGTAAATATTTTAAATGTAAAAATAGTTAAATTACAAAAGTTAAACATGTACTTATCATATGACTCATCCTTTTCATTCTTACACATTTATCCAAGAGAAATGAAAATACATGTTCACAGAAAGCTTGTTTATGAATGTTCAAAGAAGCTTTATTTATAGCAGTTAAAGTCTAGAAATGACTCAAATATCCATCAACAAATGAAAGGATAAACAAATTATGGTATATCTACACAATAAAATATTATTTGACAATAGAAAGGAATGAACTTTGAACTCAACAATATAGATGAATCTAAAAACATGCTGAGTGAAAAAAGTGAGATGTAAGTATACGTACTGTATTGGCTCATTTATGTGAACTTCCAGAATAAGTAAAAGTAATATATATAATGTCAAAAAATAGATCAATGTTTGTGTCAGATAAAGGCTGAGGCTGAGGGAATTTGACTGCAAAGGGGAATGAGACCCAGTTTTGGAATTATAGAAATGTTCCATACCTTGCTTATGGTATTTAGATGGATATAATTTAAAAATTATAAAACTTTTATAATAAAATTGATTTAAAAACATAAAATAATCAACCCAGTGAACAGTAAGCTATAAACTAATTATTCTGTTTAGCATTTTACATGTGGTCTAATAAAAACTTGGAGCTTCCTTCATTTTAGTATGAAATTGATCTACCTCAAAGCAACATGTCCTTTTCTTCATGATACTGTGCTGCTTTTCCTGACTAATTTTTAAAATTTGCCAAAATAACCTACCAATATAGTTCTTTGACATGGCTACTTCTCTGACTTCAATGTGAACAGAGCCTCTTGGTATCTGCACCACTTCCATGTAGCCTAGAACACAGAAGATAGCCAGTATTAAGCAACCTCAGTTGGAAAATGAGTGTTTAGTAACCATTCAGTAATAATAGTTTCCTTATTATTCCATCCTTTCTTTGGCTTTGCATTTTATAAATTATAAAATATATGCAAATTATCCTTTGGGTTCATGAATACATTTTAGAGAAAAAGTAATAGTCTTTTTCTCTAAAATTATTTCAAGATATACTTAAAGCCTCAACATGTATAATACTAGCTCGTTTTTTTTCCCTCAACACATGCCCCTCATATCAATGCTCTTTGGGAATTCACACCTTAAAGAAACATGGCTAAATGAAATCAAATAGAGAATAACATTTTCTTAAAATATCTTACAAGAAACTGCATTTAATATTTAAAGGATTGAAAGCAATTTGGGAAAAACATATTGTCTGCCTAAATAAAGAAATATAAAAATTAGAGGGGAGGGGAAACCAAGTGTTTTGGCTATTCTGAGTATACCAGAGGTGTGAGGAAGAGTTCTCTCTACACACTCACCTCCTCTGGGCAACGAATCATTGAAGAACCCTTCAATGGCATCACATGTACTTCCATCCCCTCCACAGACTCGACATCTATCTTCCCTAGCATCAGATCCCAAAATATTATCGCAACCTACATGCTGAAAACAGAGAAGAATATTCAGTGTGTCAATAAGAAAAATTCTTGGAATAACTAATCAAATACATATAACTTACTTATCTACTTGCTTTCCCTTTACTGGGAAAGCTGATTTCCATTACTGGAAATCAAAATAAGAAATACTTTCTTCTTTCCATTTTATCTTCACTCTCCAATAAGTCCCAGCTAACATTTTTCAATACCTAAATTTAAAGAAAAAAATTCTGATTCCCCAGGAATGTATGTCTATATTTCTAACCTAGACCTCTTCTTCATTTATTGATATCATGCTCTAATTCTTAAAATATTTTAATTGGTTAGCAATAGGATCTTACTTATACCCTCAATTAAGAAATTTAAGAACTAAGAAAAATGGCATACTGTATGGTTCTATACAGTAATAGCAATGTCATAATGCTCCTGACTGAGCATTATGGCTTGCCCTTTCTAAACCACTGGCTTTTTCTTTTTTTTTTTTTTTTTATTTCAGCATATTATGGGGGTACAGATGTTTAGGTTACGTATGTTGCCCTTGCCCCTGCTCCCCACTAAGTCCAAGTTTCAAATATGTCCATTCTTTGGGTGGTGCATATTGCACTCTTTGTGTATGCATATACTCGTCCCCTCCTCCCTCCTCCCCCCTCCCCCCTGCCCAACATCCAATAGATGTTATTCTTATATGTGCACTTATGTGTTGATCAGTTAATACCAATTTGATGGTGAGTACATGTGGTGCTTATCTTTCCATTCTTGGGATACCTCACTTAGTAGAATGTGTTCCAGCTCTATACAGGAGGTGCTATATCACCATTGTTTCTTAAAGCTGAATAGTACTCCGTGGTATACATATACCACATTTTATTAATCCACTCATGTATTGATGGACACTTGGGTTGTTTCCACATCTTTGCAATTGTGAATTGTGCTGCTATAAACATTGGGGTGCAGGTGTCTTTCTTATACAGTATCATTTGGTCTTTTGGGTAGATGCCCAGTAATGGGATTGCTGGATCGAATGGTACTTCTACTTGTATCTCTTTAAAGTACCTCCGTATTGCTTTCCACAGAGGTTGCACTAGTTTGCAGTCCCACCAACAGTGCATGAGTGTTCCTATCTCTCCGCATCCACGCCAACATTTATTGTTTTGGGACTTTTTGATAAAGGCCAATCTCACTGGAGATAAGTGATATCTCATTGTGGTTTTAATTTGCATTTCCCTGATGATTAGAGATGTTGAGCATTTTATCATATGTTTTTCGACCATTATTCTGTCTTCTTTTGAAAAGTTTCTGTTCATGTCCTTTGCCCACTTTTTGATAGGGTCGTTTGTTTTTTTCTTGTTGATTTTCCTGAGTTCTAAGTAGATTCTGGTTATCAGCCCTTTATCGGATTTGTAGCATTCAAAAATTTTCTCCCATTCTATAGGTTGTCTGTTTGCTATTGCAACAATTTCTTTGGCTGTGCAGAAGCTTTTTAATTTGATCAGGTCCCATTTATTTATTTTGGTTGTTGCTATGATTGCCTTTGGGGTCTTCTTCATAAATTCTTTGCCTAGGCCAATGTCTAGAAGAGTATTTCCAACATCTTCCTCTAGAATTCTAATAGTTTCACTCTTTAGGTTTAAATCTGTTACCCAGCGTGAGTTGATTTTTGTGAGAGGTGAAAGGTGTGGATCCTGGTTCAGTTTTCTACATGTGGCTATCCAGTTTTCCCAGCACCATTTATTGAATAAGGATTCTTTTCCCCAGTGTATGTTTTTGTCTGCTTTGTCAAAGATTAGGTGGCTATATGAGGATGGTTTTATATCTGGGTTCTCAGTTCTGTTCCACTGGTCAATGGCTCTATTTTTGAGCCAGTACCAAGCTGTTTTGATTACTACAGCCACTGGCTTTTTGTAAACATCCAATTGCTAGTGTCAAAGATTACTTGTGGAATTCATACCTGGGTAAATCTTTCAAAATGAAGACCTATTTCCACTAGCTGAATAACACTGTCATAAACAAAAAGGAAATGTAAGCATGCAATTTTGGAAGCTAAAATTCCACCTTTTAATTTTGCATTTAATCATAAAAATGTGGATTTTCTATATAGAGTTGATACATATTTCAGCATGTAAGTATGCACATTTGACCTATAGCCACTGATAGTACACATGTAATCCCTAAATAAAGACTGTACCTGGGTCTTTGTTATCTAAAAAAACTTGAATACTATCACAAAAATAACTTTTTCTTCAAGAAAGTAAAGTAGCCCCCCACAAACATGCACACACAAACTGGATCATCAGATACATATGGAGATAAGCAGCCAGAAGAATAGAAACTTTTCAAAGAAATTATGAGACTAAGTAAAATAGACAGTACTTTTTAATCTCTTCTTTCTCACTTTGTAGCACTTAATTTTGTGTTTTTCTTTAAAGAGTGGGTTTTGTAGCTTTTCTTATTATGACAAGATTCATATATAGGTCTAGGAAAATAGCATGGATTTACTCCTACAATTCCCAACTAGTCTGATTAATTCCCTACTGTAAATGTTTTAATAAGATAAAGACAAACACTATAATGAAAACCATTGTAAATGCTTCAAAGAAAGACAGAGTAGGAGGAGCATAGCTATTTCATACTTTGAGGAAGAATTATGCTATGAAATATATCAAATAATCTTCCAATGAGAACATCTGATAGCCATACAAATAAGAGCTCAATCCTTATTCCCTCTTTTTCTATCATCTTATTTGTAAACAGAACAGAAGAAAAATGGAAATTAAAGTTCAAAATATTTTTATACCTCTTGCAATGACTATAAACATAACTAGAATACCACAATAAATCACATTTGCATGGCACTTGAATATGAATGGGTCATTCCACCTTTAACTACTTATATTGTCATCCTTAATGAAAACTGAAATTCTCTAAAATGTGGCTCTCTTTTTAAAAAACTGAACATACTAATAGTATTAATTAGGAGTACTATCTCAGAAAAAGACAAAAGTCTCATAAACCTCAACAAAAAGGAGTAAAATTTGAGCAACCTTGCATTCTCCATTGATACAGATGTCCAGTGAATCGGTGTTGCACTGGGTCCCATCGATCACCGCAGGGGCACGTTCAGTGTAGAAATTGTAACCCTCAGCCAGGCAGTTTAATGCACAAGGTTTTACCCCACCTGGACAAATAGAGTAGAAGAGAAATAATTGGAATGATTCTAATGAAGAGTGATTGTATTATCCACAGCAAATTTACAATTCATATAGACATCATTCCTCGACTGTATACCTAAATGTGTAAGTTTCTTTCCTCCCTTTCTAAAATTTCACACTTATTTTCACTGCTTGTGCAACTTAAGGGAAGAATTGCTCAGTGGCTTTAAGGTTTAAAATTTTGACATATTTCCATTATGTATTTATAATATATTTTAGGGCAAAAGGGATCACAGTGGAGGTAACTGAATGTTTAAGAAAAATGGATGAAAGAAATACAATTTTATTTTATTTTATTTATTTTTTTTGAGACAGAGTCTCACTCTGTTGCCCTGGCTAGAGTGAGTGCTGTGGCGTTAGCCTAGCTCACAGCAACCTCAAACTCCTGGGCTCAAGCAATCTTACTGCCTCAGCCTCCCGAGTAGCTGGGACTATAAGCATGCGCCACCATGCTCAGCTAATTTTTTCTCTCTGTATATATTTTCAGTTGTCTAGCTAATTTCTTTCTATTTTTTTAGTAGAGACAGGGTCTCGCTCTTGCTCAGGCTGGTCTCGAACTCCTGAGCTCAACCAATCCACCCGCCTCAGCCTCCCAGAGTGCTAGGATTACAGGCGTGAGCCACCGCGCCCGGCCAAGAAATACAATTTTAAAAAACAAACCAAGAAAATCAAGTTTAAGGACTCTTGAAATAAAAACCTTGTATAGCGAAGAGGAATTTCTGCTACATATGTTACTGAAGTTGATACAAAAATTCTGCTACAACAAGCAAGGATATGGTAATTGTAAAATAAAACTAAATTTGTACCTGCCTTAAACATATCAAAAATTTCATAAGCTTGGCTTTATCATGAAGACAAATTCTTATGAGATTAGCAAATCAAAAATGAAATTAATTACAGCATTGAATTTGAATAATTTTTATGAGATTAATAAATCAAAGAGAAATATTAAATACAATATTATATTTGAATAATTAAAACAATATAATTTTATTTGTGAATATATGCAAATAATAACTTGGGCATTTTCATTTTGTGATTGAAATTTCTATTTTTTAAGGTTGAAGTGAAAAATTAGCATAAATAATAGCAATGTTTAAAAATAGCACATATCATAATTTTATAGTATATTTAAAATAGCAATAAATGTGGATTTATTGTACTTAACACAGCATATGAGAAAGCAACTATTTATAAGTATGTAATGATTGATTGAAATTATGACTTAAAATACATTCTTTTGAAACTTTATTTCATGAACTTTAAAACACTTTTACCTTGTCTAATTAAACTGATAAAATTTCTCTTTTAAATCAAGAAGATTATTTCTAACAAAGAAAATAAAGCAGACAGATGAAATGACCTGCCTAGTCTCTGAAGTTCTTAGAAATCAGGTTTCTGCAGGTTGAAGGTATGTAAAAGAGGAAAACAGAGTGAGTGGTAGAGTCGATGATAAATTAGAGAGAGCACATTCCACTAAAGGAGATCACCATTACAGTTGAATGTTGTCTTGCAAGAAGATGGCCCATTATTGTTAGACATTCTGTTTTTTCAAGAGAAGATAAAAACCTAAATTTTTTCAATGTAAATTCTTTCAATTTTTAAGTGTTGACAACTGATTCAAACTTTTCAAAATTACTGTGGAGGCTAAAATATACATGTAGTTAAAAACTGGTCCCTTAACTACCAGTCTATAACCTCTGGCCTGAGTCCGTGTTTTTTTCCATTTTCAATGTTACAGGCTATAGAGCTTCTCTATAATTAAGAATGTTATTTTTAAGCTTAGGTTAATAATAAATTTTGCTATACTGAGCACAGAAATAACAAGTAATAAAATAATTTCTCCCTGAACTGATAATCAAACTACTTATTTTTATGAGAGTCTCATGAATAAAATTACTATAAATTTCTATGAATCTTACTGGGATTTTTTTCATTACTACCCTATATAGTTCCGTTCAGACTTTTTATTGTAATGCTTTGGAATTTAATGCAGCATTTTACATATCAGGCTTTAAAAAGTGAACCCGAGTCTTCTGTTTATTCAATTTTAACATAAATCATATAAGGTAATACTTGATAGGTAGAACATATAAATACTATGGTTGTATTCCTTAGCCCAATACACTACATGATAAAAACGGAAATAAATTTCTTTTTTTGTTTACTGCTGAAGATGTGTTCAGCTTATCCTGCTACAATGAGCTTTCATAAGAAGTATCACTTAAGTGACATCAGCAAGGTGGCAGAAGAGGAGCTTTCTACTGTCATCTCTCTGCAGAAGCACTGATTTTGACAACTACCCACAGACAAGGGGAGTACCTTTGTGGGAGTCCAGGAGTCCAGCAGAGAAGTTCCAGCACACCATTGGAGAGAAAAATCCAAGAACAGCCACATTGAAGAGGTTAAAGAAGAACAGTTTAACTTTATCTGCATCACATCTCCCTCAAGGCAGCACAGCACAGCAAAAAGAAACACCCCCTCAATCCATGATTTCTCCCACAGGGGAAAGTGTGAGTACTGGGCTCCTCTAGCTGTGTGGGACAATGCCCAAGAGGCCTACTTCTTTCTTGCGTAATCCAGAATACTGATTGGCATAGCTAAGTGCTTGGAAGAGGATGGGAACAGAGAAGACAGGCCAAAGACCCAATTAAGTGCTCTGCAAACTCCATTGGGAAGTCCATCCACGAGCCACTTGAGATGTTTTGCCTATTGCCCCCCCCCCAACTAGCTCATGGGCACCACAAAAACTCTGTGTGCCTCATCACCCACCTCCCCAACTCCCTAGGTTGGCAGCCCGAGCATGTTCTTATGGACAGTGAGTGTAAGCATTTCATGCAGACGGCCACCTTGACTTTTTAGGACTGGGAAAAGGCACACAGTTCAAGCATTTTAGGGCATCATTCTAGGTAAAACAAACAGGAAGCTCCTAGCACCTGACCCAGCTTTGCAGGATCCTGAGAGGGCATATAATCTTATGAATTCTTCCCCAAGAGAGAACAAGAGGGGTGGAGTAGGTGCACCCATAGAAAAGGTCTGAGAGTCTCAGAATCCCTAGCTGGGCTGTTTGGTGAAGATGTTTCTCTCAGGGAGCCAGTTAATAAAGACTAGAGGAGATAACTACTTCTCCAAATGCAAAGACAGCAATTACAAGACATCAAGCAATAAAAACAATTTAAGAAAACATGACATCACCAAAGGAACACAATAATATTCTAGTAACTAAATCAAAGGAATGCTGATCTATGAATGACCTGAAAAGAATTCAAAATAATTGTTTTTAGGAAGCTGAGGGAACTACAAGAGAACACAGATCAACAACTCAATGAAATTAGAAAAGCGATACATACACAAAATGGGAAGTTCACCAAAGAGACAAAAATCATTTTTTAAAAAACTCCAGAAATTCTGGAGCTGAAGAATACAATGAATGAAATGAAAAATGAAATAGAGAACATCAATAGTAGACTTAAGCAGAAGAAAGAATCTATAAACTTGAAGAAAGGTCATTTTAAAACATTCAGTCAAAGAGGGGAAAAAAGAAAAAAAAAGGAAAAGGAATGAAGAAAGCTTATAGGATTTACGGGAAACCATAAAGAGAGCTAAAATTTAACATTATAGGAATCTCAGACAGAAAAAAGAGTGGAAGGGGAATAAGGTTTATTTAAAGAAATAATGGCTGAAAACTTCCCAAATCTGGAGAGAAATATGGACATCCAAGTACATGAAGTTCAGAGGTCTCCAATAAGGTTCAACCCAAAGAAGACTTCACATACTATAATCAAATTGTCAAAAATCAAAGACAAAGAATTTTGAAAGCAGGCAAAAAGAGGTTCATCACATTCAAGAGAACTCTATAGGTCTATTAGTAGATTTCTCAGCAGAAACCTTGCAGGTCAGGACAGAGTGAGATGGTATATTCAGAGTGCTGAAAGAAAAAAAAACTGCCAACCAAGAATACTTTACCTGGCAGAGTTGTCCTTCATAACTGAAGGAGAGAGAAAGACTTTCCCAGATAAACAAAAGCTGAAGGAGTTCATCACCACTAGACCTGCCATACAAGAAATGCTAAAGGGAGTTCTTCAAGCTGAAACGAAAGGATGCTAATTAGTAACATGAAAATATATGAAAGTATAAAACTCACTGGTAAAGGTAAGTATATAGTCAAATTCAGAATGTTCTAATACTGTCATAAAGGTATGTAAATCACTTAAAACTCTAGTATAAAAGCTAAAAGACAAAAATATTAAAAATAATTACAGCTACACTAATTTGTATGTGGATACACAATATAAAAAGTTGTAAATTATAACATCAAAAATATAAAATAGGGGAGATTAAAGGTGTAGATTTTTTGTATGTGTTGGAAGTTAAGTTATTAACAGCTTAAAATAGACTGTTATAACTATAAGATGTTTCACATAAGGCTTATGGTAATCACAAAGGAGAAACCTGTAGTAGACACACAAGAGAAAGAGAAAGAAATCAAAGCATACTACTATTACAGAAAATCATCCAATCGCAAATGAAGACAGCAAGAGTAAGAAATGAACAAAAAACCTACTAAAGAGCCAAAAACAATCAACAAAATAGCAATAATAAGTCCTTACCTAACAATAATTATTTTAAATGTAAATGGATTAAATTCCCCAATGAAAAGAAGGGGGAATGGATAAAAAAAACAAGAGTGGCTTGAATGAATAAAAAAACAAGACCCAACTATATACTGCCTACACTTCAGACTTAAGGACACAGAAGACTAAAAGTGAAGAGATGAAAAAAGATACTCCATGCAAATGGAAACCAAAATAGAGCAGGGGGAGCTATACTTATATGAGACAAAATAGACTATAAGTTAAAAACTGTAACAAGAGACAAAGAAGGTCACTATATAATGCTAAAGGGGTCAATTCATCAATTGATTACAATTTACAATTGTAAATATACATGTACCCAACATTGGAGA